TGTAATAGCAGAGTGAAATTTGTCTCACTGCTGCAACTGTTATTATGCCCTTTCTTTGGGTCCAACTCTGGTCTTTTCATAGTTCCAAGGTTTTTTTGGTCTCACTTGTAGGTATTAAAAAAAAAAAGGGCTGACCAAAGTAGGGAAAAGAGATAAAATTGGAGGAAAGAAAGGAAGAAGGGATAAAACAAGAAAGAAGGAAAGAGATGAAAAAGGAATTGAAAGAGAAAAAAAATAATAAAAATTAAAAATTGTTAAAAAATAAAAATAGAATAAAATTTAAAAGCCTCTTGGTTTCAAAGTGGCCAAACCAGTTTTTCTGGTCTTGCTGGCTACAGCAGGCTGAGGGGGGATTGGTATGGCTTTTCTTCCTTCCCTATCTGTTCTCAGTCAGCTGCTCATGCTGTCTGGGGAGCTATCCTGACACCTCTCCCCTGCACCTTGTGTGTGGGATCCAGACCTTTCCCCAGTGTTGCCACTGTGGGCTGTGGTGCAGGAGTGCACTTGGGCACTCAGCCAGGCTGTCTCACCCTTCCCGGTGCTATGGGGGTGCACAGGGTCCTCTGCACAAGCACAAGTTTCCGTGCAACCTTGGGATCACTGTCCGGCTGGGTGGCAGGGAGGCGGGAGCAATTGCTTTAGGAGAATTCCCCAAACAGTGTCTGTCTTTTCACTTTTTCTCTTTGAGAAATTCCTCCTACTCAAGCCCACCACTCCATACAGTGGCCTGGTCTCTCCCACAGCCCAATTCTCCAGCCAGAGCGGTGACTATGGGGGTCAGGGCTCGTCACCGCGTCACTATCAAGTCTGCTGGTGTCCACAGTCTCGGCGGATGCTCACAGCCCCTGTGTGTTTGCTAGAAACCGGGTGCTGATCCCAGTGCTGATCAGACCTTGTTTGGCCACAGAGGGAGCAGTTGCCCCGGCTCTCTCCCAAGGACTCTGTGGCAAACCCAGCAGCAGGTGCCCAGCCTGGGGCTGCAGCCCCCCTGATCCCTGTGTTGGTCCCTGGGACCTTATTGTTTTGAAGCACTCTCCTTACCATCTGGTTTTTCGGTTCAACTACAAATTTTGGTTTCTTATTTTCATATGCTGAGGTACTGTTGGTTGTTTGCTCTTTTACTCTGTAGATCGGCTAGAATTTTCTCCCGCGTGTAGGGGAATCTGCCTCCTCCTACCCTGACACCATCTTCCTCTCTCTCTTATTTTTTTTCTTAAATCATGTTTATTGTTATGCTATTACAGTTGTCCTAAATTTTCCCCCTTTGCCCATCCCACCTCCCATTCCCACAGTCAGTTGCCACACTGCTGTCCATGTTCATGGGTCATTCATATGTTCTTTGTCTAGTCATTTCCTCTTCTTTCCACAATTATCTTTTTATCAAGTAAGATATTGTAAGTTTGAATTTAGTAGTAAACAAAAAGAAAGAAAAGGAAAAGTCTTCCTCTATGTCATGTCTCCCTGTGGTCTTTACTGTAAAATGGTAAAGTGCTAAGACTACCTGTTGTGCTCTGCTTGTGGAACCAGAGGGTTTTATTCCATAATAATAGAATGAGGTACTTATCCCAGAGTATCCTATCCTTCTGTGATGACCACAGACCAATGTTTGTACCTGACCTTCATTCACTGGAGACTTAAGAGTCAGTGTTTACAAAGCACTATGACATGACCACAGTGGTTTCCTACCAATGATTTTGATTGTACCATCCAGTTTGCATTTGTCTAGTTTTATGTCACCATGTTGACCAACTTGGTCATCTTGAGGAGCATTAACATATTATTTAGAGGTTTGGTATAGATCTTTGTTCTGTCACACCAAAAATGAACAGACTCTCAAAAACAAAAACAAATTCAAGAGAGAATACTCCCTAGGTGAACAAAAAATTATTTTAGCAAGTATTTGTTTTTATCTGTGGTTTCCATGGTGAATATTATGAGTGTAAAGAAGCACTGTGGATCCAATTAATACTGCACATCATTGTAGGTATGATTAATGATTACTTGCTTTCCACATTCACCTAGAATAAAGTTGTCTATGGAAGTTTTACTTCAATAAGAAATATCATTGAAGGCTTGCTGATACACTGTAATCCAGAAACTTTCAACCTTTTACATCTCATGTCACATGTAAACTAATTACTAAAGTTCTTTGGCACACCAAAAAATATATTTTTGGCTAATCTGTTGAAAAATAAGAATAATTTTGATTCATTCACATGAGATGGCTATTGTTGTGACAAAAGCCCTTTTGTCATTTTTAATTTGACAATCTGAAGGAAAACAGGTAAGTGTCCCTGATCAAATAGTCAGCTATGGAATATTTTAAAAATTCTTGTGGGACACCAATTGAAAACTGCTGCTCTAAATAATCATGCTTGAATCTCCACTGTTTTTTGGAAAGATGTATTACCCATTTCAATTGAGAATTATCACTGGTCATTTTTTTAGCATTCTCTTACCTTTATTTCAATTACAGTTTACATTCAAATTATTTTATATTAGTCTCGGGTGTATAGCATAGTGATTAAACAGTCATAGATTTTATAAAGTGATCCCCCTAATATTTCCAATATTCACCCGGCTCCATACATAGTCATTATAATATTATTGATTCTACTTTCCCTGATGTATTTTACAACCCCAAGACTATTTTGTAACTATGAATTTGTACTTCTTAATCCCTTCACCTTTTTTGTCTAGTCCCTCAACTCCCCTCCCCTATGGCAACCATCAGCCTGTTCTCTGTGTCCGTAAGTCTGTTTCAGTTCTGGACAACTCTTGATGATGTTCATAAATGTTTCTTGATTAATGAACAATAGTGACATTAAGAATGGCCAACTCAAGATGACCCATAATCTTAATGACATTGATCTATAGGCCATGAAACAAATTTTGACCTTAAAAATGGTAGATCTTTTCTTAACTTACCTGATATTTTACAATTAAAAAGAACTACCCACTTCTCAATCATTTGGAAAAATAGCTTTTCATGATAAATGAGGTAAAAGAGAATTTGAAGAAAAATCATCATTCATTTTTATTATTCTAACATTTGTTTGAAAGACTAAGGCATAAATCAAATATTTATTTTTTAGAGCATGCTATTTTTTTATTATGCACTTAAAGTTTATGTCTTGTGGTCTTTCTATTTGTATATAAATCATAGGGTTTATTATTAATAGTTTTCTCTTTACTTATAAATGTGATTGCCAGTAGCTTAACACCATAAGTAACCTAGCAAAAAGTCACTTCTCCAAGTAAAAAGAAATGCAAACAATATGTCATGGAAAAAAAAAATGTTCAACTTTTGAATACTAGGGCATGTGTACTATTAAAACTCAAGCTGAAATCTTCTAATTTGGGGGAAATTGCATGACAATTGGTATTGAGTTTCCTAGTAAATAATACATTGCCTTCATTCTGAAAAATATATCATCTGTTTCAGACCACATCACAGTTGACAGGTAACCAACCGAGTGTGTGTAAGTGAGACCAGTATCTTGGCATGGTGTCACTGTTTGGTGCATGACTTTACAGAATGGAGTTTTCACTATAAACCTCACTAACAGTGACACATTGCTAATCTCTTACATACTTTTAGAGTGAATATTTTGTTTTATTTTCAAGGTGTCCTGCTTAAAGTTTTGCACCTTCAGGAGATTGATTTCTTAAAAATACTACAAAATATCCCACCTTGTGTTTTACATTTTAAGGTGTTGATATATTTAATATTGGTTTTGTTTGGTGGAGTCAACTTCTACAATTGCTGTTTATTTTCACCAAGAGAATAACTCCCTTTTATTTAGGTTGTAAGGCCATGTGGAAGTGTGTCAGTGTAAGGCTTCCTTGGACTGTCACTTACTGGACAGGCTCAAGTGCAGAAGGAGCAACTTCCACTACACAGCACCCTGCTGCCTGTTCCCAAAGCGTGATGACTCAGCTTTTCTCAAGTGGCCAAGCAGCTCACTTCATTTTGAGAAATCTTAGATGCCTGTGGAAGACTGAGATAAGGGACTGCATGATGGGACATGCACTGAACATACAACTATGCACTTAAAACTAATGCATAAAATGTAAAACCAGCCAGCATCTGCTCTCTGCTGATGATTTTACCCCCAAGATATCCTAGGTTTTTTAAATCTAACCTTAAATGACTCTAAATTGTTGCTGTAGTCACCACTGGGATATGAGCTCAACTCTAGCATCTCTTTCTCATGGACTTCCCAGATGGCCCCTCCATGGTGAAGAGGAGAATAAAAATCATGAGATCCTTAGAGACAAGGTCAAGCTTACTTAAGAACATCTGATTTTATCTTCATGTGAAAAGTTGCCCACTTACTTTATTTGGATTGAAGTTACTTACTTTTAATATAGAAGAATATTCTTTGCATGAGAAATATTTCCCTACCCTTGAAGATACCTAGCTGCAATTGGGTAGACAAGTTACATGGAATTTGTATCCAGAATGTTGTGATGGAATCCCTTAGCCACACTGTATGCATGTGACTCATTACAGATTGAGTTACTGACCAGGTGTTCAGGAAACAGATATTTTATGTGTGACAAATGCCCATTTCTTTCATTTCCAGCCAGATTTCCGAGTGTGTCACAGTGTGGGAAAAGTACCAACCTTTGTTTGAGGTCAAGTTCCTAGAAGGCAGGAATGCTTTTGTTTGTAATTTTATCCAGTATGTACTGCAGTGCCTTATAAACTGTTACCTTGCAACAAATGATTCATCTTTATTTTTTCAGTTAGCATTTTTAGGTATATTAGAAAGATTTGTAACAACCACTGAAATTACGTTTAAATAACCCAAACTATAGAACACACATTAAAAAGAGATAAGACCCTTGTGAAAAAAAAAAGGCAAAACCTTTAAATAACATATGCCCTTGTAAAGGAAATAAAGTTTAGAGGTCCGCCAAAGACATACTTCATTATAATAAAATCATTGTCACTTTGTGAATTTGATCACAAAGGAACATTGTTTGTATTGCAGGTGTGGCTGCAGAAGTACGGCTACCTGCCCCCAACAGATCCCCGGATGTCAGTGTTGCGTTCAGCAGAGACCCTGCAGTCTGCTCTGGCAGCCATGCAGCAGTTCTATGGCATCAACATGACAGGCAAGGTGGACCGGAATACCATTGAGTAAGTTGCCAATCCTGCCCTTTCTCTGTGTGTCCTTCTGCCAGACCATGTCATCTGAAAACCTGTAATGAACTACAGCAACCTCAAATGGAGTTGCTATTATGAAGTGTCCTTTGGATTTAACTTTTTTAAACTCCTATTATCTGAGATGCCAGATTTACTCATCTGAATTTAGCAGCATATTTTCAAAATAGGAAAGAAAATATGAATGGGGAGAGGGAGAGTCACAGTGGGCCCAGCTGCAGCCATTATAAGAAGAGGGACCATCAATGATGTGTTGGCTGGCTGTACAGTTGTGGAGGGTGTATGGGCACATCTCATCCCTGTTAATGTCACAGCAGCTACTTGAAATTGATCAAATTAGAATATTGACCCTAAGGAAAATGGAAGCAGTCCAAATCAGGGTTCTTTGGGGAAGAGGGTAGCAGAGAGCCAGTCATTAGTTAACTAGCCTCCCATGAGTGACAATTCTCTAATAGTGTTAAATCAAGGAGGGATTTTCCTTGAAAAGTCACTTCTTTCAATAGTTTATTAACTCTAATAATGTTTGTCATTTTATTTATTGATTTATCAATCATTCCTTCATGTATATATTCAACCAATCATTCTTTACTGGGTATTTTATAAGTGCAAGAGGCAAAGACAGCCTCAGAAGACTTGGTCTCTTCTTCAAAGGGACTTGAACTTAAGGGGTGGCTAGACGTAGTCATGAATTATTTTAACACAGGTGGAACTTCCCAACATCCTGAAAAGCATTATGACTTCTGGAGAGCACAGGAGGAAGTGATTAATTCCTTCAGTTTAGGGAAGCTTTGTTTGTGTTTATTGAGTCCTTGATACAAAGTAAACCTCTCTCATCCTTTACTTTGATCATCATATGTCAACTGTCCATAGCAGGGAGGATAGGGATGCATTTTTTATCTCTATTTTTTCAAATAAAGGAACAAAGTTAATAAAGAAGCAGAGTCCAAGGTAGCCACAGAATCTGGGCTTGTTGATGTTTAGTTGGAGAACTTTTACCATGCTGTGTACTTTGATAAGGACACATTTTCCTTTTCAATTCTTTTTTTTTTAATCATCACCTGAGGATATGTTTATTGACTTTAGAGAGAGGAAGGGGGAGGATGAAAAGAGGGGGTAGAGAGAGAGAGAGATGTGAGAGAGAAACATCAATTGGCTGCCTCCTCTACACCCTGATCAGGATTGACCCCGATCCTAGGTATGTTCCCTGACCAGAGATCAAACCCACAGCCTTTTAATGTATGGCATAATGTTCCAACCAAATGAGCCACCCAGCCAGAGTAGGACAAATTTCTATTTTTTAACCTTAAATTCCTATAATATTTGGGCTCAGACATATATAACTAGTCATGACATATTAAACTAATTTAATATGTAATTTTAAAATTATATTTTTTTGTGTTCTAATGCTTAGTGCAGATGTTTATCTTGCTATTTGTATTTCATCAAAAGCACATGAGATAAAGGCTTGGAGAGTAAACATCAAATCAGTTTGAAAAAATAAACGTTACCTCTCCAAGCATTCTTAATAGATCCCTAAATATTAACTTTGATTTACATCTGGGAAAATAGGATCAAGAATTAATGCATTCTATAACAATGAGACTTATTATCAATATTAGGAAAAAATGTGGGTATTTTCTATTTTCTCTCTAATCATTTCAATTCTTTCTTCAAACTTTCATTTTAACACATCATGTATCTCTTCAAAAACCTCCAGGTTTTTGTAGCTGTGTGTAGTACAGAATTCCTCTTAAATTAGAACTCTCCATCCCTGTTGGGGTCCGCCCTGCCTGGTCACAGGAAGTTGTAACCCCCCATGAGTAAGAGACCTCTGGACCAGGAGACACTAAGGAGACAAAACTTATTTCCCTGGCAGGAGCTCTGCTTCTGTTCCTTGCCTGGCCCCCAATGCTTGATCAGTTAGCCAATGATGGGTAAGATTCCCCAAAGGGGGAATCACCTAAGACAGGCATGATCACATGGAGGCCTCAGTGAAGGACTTGGGGGGTTGTGGAAATGAAGGGGTGATCGACATCAACCTCTGCCCCCTTGGCTTTGTCAAAGCCTGAATCCTTGTTCTAGCTGTGAAAAATCCAAGTCTCCTGGCTGCCTTTGTCTCCTCTGCACACCCTTCTTGTTCCCTAATGCGGAACTTTTCTCTTCTAATTAAGTTTATGAAAAATATGATACACTGTCAAAACATACAATAAATTGAGACTTTGGGAAAATTACTCTTTTGATTTTTATTTAAAATATGCTTATTGTTACATACTAAAATTAAGAAAGTAGAGTCTTATAGAAGATGTCATTGGTTTATCGAGCTCCAGCTGGTCATTAGAAGAACTCAGGATGGAGAAGTTTAGTTTTTTCTCTTTTTAAATTTTGTATTGTTGTTCTATTACAGTCATCCCAATTTTCCCTCCCTTGCTCTCCTGTGCCCAGCCACCCCCACTCCCACAGTCAATCCCCACACTATTGTCATTATCCATGGGTCATGCAAATGTGTTCTTTGACTAGTCCCCTCCTCTTCTTTCCACCATTACACCCTCCCCAGTCCCCTCTGGCCCCTGTCAGTCTGTTCCACATTTCCATAAAAAGGCAAAAAAAGGTCTCTGTGTGGAGTTGCTGAAAGGTTTAAAGGTCCTGTTCAGGACTGAGTTGAACCCCCTGTGGAAGGGGTCTAGGTCCGAGAGTCTATGGTCTTTCTTAGAGAGGTGTAGGGGACATGGTGTTTTCCTGGTACAGTGGCTCAAATTCCAGACCAGGAGAAACATGTCAATAGGTTGGCATTAAATCAGCATTTCAGTGAATTACAGCATTAGAGAGAGAAGACAGCAGGCAGCCTTTAATTGAAAACCAACCAGTGCTTTGGCTGTTTTTGGTGTTTTTACTTTTTAAACAAAACTTTGTCCTAATTTAATCTTTTCAAAATTGGAAATGCCTTTTTCCTTTTAAATTTGGTATTTCCGTAGTTTTCTAGGTGAACCCACTAAAGCCTCATTAAAGCTCATCATCTTCTTCCTCCACTACCATGCTTCCTCTCTCCTCTGCCCCACTGAAATTGTAACTCATCTTAGACACTCTGTCACTTCTTTTGCCTCCTCGTTGCTTAGGTATTCAGCTCAAAGACTAAAATCTCCATAATTATACTACTTAAGCAATTGTCTGTGCTTTTGTTATCTTCAGTGAATGTGTGCTAACAATCCATGCTACAATGGCCCTCAGTTAATTTATACAGTCAAATTATAAGGTGTGAGATTTTATCTAAACCTTATTTCATAAAATATGCACTACAATTATGGACTTAAAAATTTTGCTCTGTGTTGAAATGTCCTAGCATTTGTTTTCAGATGCTATAAACTTTTATCTAATTTTAGACTCTTGTCAAGATCAATTGTTTTTAAATTTAATAATGGTACCCTCCTCTGGCAAACAGACATTTGGTACATTTAGTCTATAGTTTTTGGGTAATTAAAAACAGCAATGCCATTTGTGGTAATCTATATATCATATTAAAGAAAGTAATCATTTTCAAGCAACTGATGTAGTTATTACCTTAAATGGTGTATCATATTGCTTTTATATTAATTAACATTGGTGTTGGAGAGATAGCAATAAATATATATGCCACCACCCCCAAATTAGCTCATTAATACATATTGCAATGGTTCTTTCAACTGATGAGTTTCTTAGCTAATTTTTGTGAGCAAGTTCACTTAAGTTTCCTAATAAAAAGGATATAGTTAGCAAGAAGAGAAAAACATAATAAGGATATAATGAAAATGAGTCAAATATGTTTTTCTAATGTTAATAATAAGTATTTTTTCCATTTTAGTTTTTCTTTTATGTGTGCACAGTGTTATGCATTGAAGCTTGATAGGATATCATTTTCAAGGTGATTTTTCTTTTGGATTTACACACACATACACCCACATTGGATGATTTGGGTAATTCTGTTTTATTTATTCAAACCATGCCCAGAAATGTATAATTAAAATTAACTTGACTGAAAAAGGAGCTATTTGCAAAGAATGATTATGAAACTGTAGAGGTATTTGAACTCATAGAGGCATTTGAAAATTAAAATATGTATTTATATCAAAAAGCACAAACATTTTGGCTTAATTATCAGTATGTTTCATGATTTTTCATGGATATAAAAGATTCATCAGTAATTTAAGTTCTTTACATGATATATTCTGAGCATACTAGCAATACTCAAACACAATAACATTGTAGGATTGGTGTATCCTCACTTGGCCACTACAACAGTATGGCTGAGAGCAAAATGAGCAGTGGCCTAAGATTTGTGTCCTTAAAGATTGGAGGTGGATGTTTACAGACACATTGACACTAACTAGCTTTTGTTCACACTGCAGATCAAGGAGGCTTACTATATTTATTCCCTGTGCTTGAGTATTTAAGTATTTTAACTTTTCAACATCAGCCTTGTAAATAACACCTGTGTTTCAGGCAGCTTGTGAGTTGATAGAAAAAAAGAGCATGGATCAGATGGCTTCACAGGTGAATTTTACCAAACATTTTGAAAAGAACTAACATCTCTCCTCAAACTTTTTCATAGAATTCAAGAGGAGGGAAGACTCCCAAACTCATTTTACAATGCCAGCATTATCCTAATGCCAAAACCAGGAAAAGACACTGCAAAGAAAGAAAATTATAGGCCAGTATCACTGATGAGCATAGTTGCTAAAATCCTCAAAAAAAAATTAGCAAACCAAATACAGCCATGCATCATAAAGATCATAAACCATGATCAAGTGTAATTTATTCTGAGAATACAAGGATGGTACATCATTTGAAATCAATAAATGTGATTTATTACATAAAAAATGAAAGATAAAAACACATGATTATATAAATACATGCAGAAAAAACTTTTGATAAAATCCAACATCGATGTATGATAAAAACTCTAAGCAAGTGAGAATAGAGGGAACATAACATGAAAATAATAA